GATTTTGAGTGTTGTGTGTTGTATGTTGAGGGGAGAGAAGTTGGAATGCTCCCACACCTCCTGCAGCATCCCCACCCTCCCCTCCGCCCCCACTGCAGCAGTGCCATGCTCTGGAAGCAAGAATCTGACCACATCCTCCTCCTCATAACATGCGGGTGCCGTCTGTTTTCTCAATAGCCCAGGTCTGATCTCCCCGGTCCCAACTAGCTGTGTGACCTTGGGCAGGTCCATCCCTCCCCTTGGAATCTGTACTCCCCTAGGCTCTGCCATCTACTGGGGACGATGCCCAGGTCAGGTCTATACTCAGAGCCTTCTTCTCTTCCTCTCCAGAACAGCCGTCTACCTGTCTTCCTGGCTTGCTCTCCCCAGGAATGGTCTGGGGCAACCCCAGCAACACGCCCACCTGTGGCCAGGATGACCAGGAATCCAGTTCAGGCTTGGCTTCCATGGCAATCAAGGCCCACCAGGCCTCAGCAACCTTCCCTAACCCCCATTCCTTTTTGCTTGCCCCCCTCCACACCAGGCATGTTCCCTGCCATGCCATGCTGTTCCCCTCACCTTGGCTGCCCTCCCAACTCCTCCCTGCCTCTAGAGATGCTCTGCCATTCAAGACTTGACTCAGGCTCCAGGTCCTCCCTGGGCCTTCTAGAGCCCCTGGTTCTCACTCCTCCGAACACTTCCAGCCTGGCTGATAGCCCATTGAATCCTAGCCTGGGGTACAGGTGGCCAGCACAGTGTGGGGGTCAACTCCCAACAAGCATGGGTAGGTCCCTCTGCAGACCTTGGGCTGCGAGAGGCACAGGGCTGGGCACAAAGCAGGTGGGTGTACACCAATCCAGTATCCAAAACCCTGCTCGGTTCACCCCCACCTCTGTTGAAGGAAAGCAACACTGTGATGGAGAGGAGCAGCTGTGGATTCAAATCCTGACTTGGCCACTTTCTAGTTGTGTGACTTGGTGCATCTGCCCTCATCTCCTCAGAGACACAAATGGCAACACCTCCCTTCTTGGGTTACTGTGAGGATTAAATAACAAAACCTCCAAGAAGCAGAGCCAGGTGTCTGGAGAGTGCTCAATGGACGTAGTTATTATTATCATCATCAGCACAGTGCAGGGCACGTGGTGGGCATTCAGGGATGATGGCCCTTGTGTCACAGCCGACACACTCTTGACCAGTGAGTCCTCTCTCCTCCCTTTGTTGACTCCTGACCATCCACAAATGAGGTTCAGAATCCTCCATCCAGCATCTTCCCTGGTCACATGGTCCCAACCTTTTGCTCCACCCCCTTCTCTGTCCCCCAGCAGTCCATGCTCCAGCCACCCTGACAACGTCCCTGGATTCCTGGCTTACTGACACCTGAGCCTACGCACAGGCCCTCCCTTCTGCATAGAGCACGCTTCCCATCTTGTGGACCCCAAGGGTTCCGAGCAGCCATCGAGGCTGAGCTCCTATGACAACTCCTCCGTGAACCCTCCCTCACCTTTCCGTTACCAGTGAGGCCTGCTACAGCCCGATTCGTACTCTGATCCTAGCACACATGAAGCGTGTTGCCATTTGGTAACAGTCTGTCCTCCGCTAGACTGTGAACTCCGCCAGGCGGGGAACCAGGTCTGATTGCCTCTGTGTCCCCAGAGACCACTTAGCACAGAGTCCAGCCCATAGTGGCTGTCAGCAAATGCTGGGCCCAGCCTGCCACCCACCCACCACTCACTTGGGGGCTGGAGGCATTACACGCATGCGGGGCACATGGGACTTGTGGGGGCAGCTGAGCAGCAAGGTTTATAGAGGAACCCAGGGTGGCAGCAGGAAGGATGAGTGTCTGAAACTGGGTTGGCAGGCTCAGGGCATAGCCAGCCTAAGCTAGGGGTCAGGGGCCCCTGGCCCCTTCACTCCCCCAGGGGCACACAGTGTCAGCGGCACGATGTGGGATGCCCCAGGAAGGGCAAGGCCATGGGGCTGGGCTTTCCTCCATCGACCCAGCACAGAACTGGTTCTGAAGGCCCCATCAGCATGACTAGGGTGGAGATCTTGGGGACCTCCTTGGGGGGCCACAGTTGGGGGGAAGGGCACAGCCCATCCAACATGTCCATCTGGTGTGGCTGTGCCAGCAGGGAGTGTCCCACATGCAGAGCTCCCTCTGGGCTGCAGGAGGTGGGGACCTGGGTGGGCAGGTGGGCACAGCAGCAGGGGGCCCCAGGGAGCCTAATCCAGCGGGCCCTGGAAAATGAGGCGGACGCAGCCATGCTCGCCGGTAAGCCAGGCCCCGCAAAAGGGGCAGGCGGCATGGAAAGCGTGGGTGCCGTGGGGCAGTGGTGTCTGGGCCCAGTAGCGGGCAGTCTTCTCAGAGCAGACGTGGCCACAAGGTGCAAAGGCATGGCTAGGCGGCCCAGGGTCCAGGCAGAGGCCGGCCTCCTGGCCAAGCCATAGAGGCACATAAGGCCCCACGAGGCGGCAGAGAGGACATTCGCGCTCCTGGGGGCCCCGCTCCCGCCGGCAGCCCCAGCCGTGGTAGCCGTGGACGTGCCCGCAGCGGACGTAGACCCATGGCTGCTGTTTGTCGGGTGCTGTGCGGCCACGGGCTGGGCTGGGGAAGGCCAGAGTGCTGAGGCCCACGGGGCACTGGGGCCGCGCTGCATTTGCCTCCTGCCGCTGGGCCTCCAGTTGCTTCAGTGTGGGAGCCCGCAGCAGCCCCGCCGGTGTGCGCCACAGCAGTGTGGCCCCACACAGGTCGATGAGAGAGCCGTCCTGCAGCACGTTGGACTCGTTTTCCACCTGCCAGAGGCAGTAGAAGGGCCTTACTGCCCAAGAGGCCCCCGCTGAGCCACGGGTCCATCCCACGGAGCCTCCCTGGAGAGGACACCCTGGCTGGCAGGGCAGGCAGGGCAGAGGGGCAAGGCAGGCTGGGAGGCCAAGCGAACGGGCAGGTGCACCCCAGGCACATGCTGACCCCCCCTCCCAGCAGGGCATGGGCCTTGGTTTCTCCATCTGTCTAATCAGGGAGTCTGAACCCAGACAGGGTTTTTCTAAAATAAGATGTTTTCTGAAGTGCCCTCCTCCTGACAGAGGCAGGAAAGGCCTCTAACAAGGAATGCTGGGTACTTAGCTCAAAGCTAACAGGGAATGCTGGGTACTTAGCCCAAAGCAACTATCCCAGTAGTTACAGTTAAAAGCAAAAACTCAGGAGCTAGGCTGCCCAGGCTGAATTCTGGCCTTACCATTGACTAACTTTGTCCCTGGTCAAGTAACTTAACCTCTCTCCATCTCAGTTTCCTCATCCTCAAGATGGACTGCACCTTCTGGCATCTCAAGTGGTTCTCGTGAAGATTAAATGAATCAATCAGGCCGGGCGCGGTAGCTCACGCCTGTAATCCCAGCACTTTAGGAGGTTGAGGCGGGTGGATCACCTGAGGTCAGGAGTTCCAGACCAGCCTGGCCAACATGGTGAAACCCCATGTCTACTAAAAATACAAAAAGTTAGCCGGGTGTGGTGGCTCATGCCTGTAGTCCTAGCTACTTGAGAGGCTGAGGCAGGAGGATCACTTGAACCCAGGAGGTGGAGGTTGCAGTGAGCTGAGATTGTGCCATTGCACTCCAGCCTGGGTGACAGAGTGAGACTCCATCTCAAAAAAAAATTAAAATAAATAAATAAATGAATCATTCAGTGTAAAAACTTAGAACAGTGCGTGGCAAATAGTGCTTAAGAAGAGTAGGCTTGTGAAACATTCACATGCATCATTTTACCAAACAGTGCTTCCCCAGACCTCCCCACAGAGTTGACGCTCTGCAAAGAAAAGCCATGCTTTTCTCTGAGGTTTTGCATCTCCTTGGACAATGTGCTCATGCCTGAAGAGCAACGCATGGCCCGTTTGAGGAGCATGGCCATGTGACCTTGGGCAGCCCCTGCCTCTCTCTAGGACTCACTCTGGGCTCCCTAACCTCAGCTCTCTGATCTGCACCACAAGGAGTTGCCACTAACACCTGTGTCAGAACTACTGTAAGGACCCTTTCCTCCTGAGAGAGAACAGTGCTAAACCTGTCTGAATGTGACAGACATGCTACAAACTGCCAACACTTCAGGCTATAAACTGCTCACACATGGGCCAGTGTCACTCTCATAAGAAGGTGTGATTTTTTTTTTTAAGCTGCCAGCAGCCTCGAAGCCACCTGGGACTGCACAGTATGTCTGTGTGTGCCTTGATCACATCACCCCCTGGACCTCCAGTGGTATGCACGCTATGCTTGGGGACCCTGGTCTGTCTGCCTGTCTGTGGCACATGCTAAGAACTCCCTGGGCCTGGGATTCCCCAACATGGAGCCTGTTGGGGCTCCCTGGGGCAGAAGGACTAGAGATCATCTCCTGGCTTGGGCAGGGGGATGGGCAGCTTGTGAGGGCCTGGCAAGGATGAGGGTGGGGAATAGAGCAGGCCACCTACCAGCTTGCCCCGCTGCTGGGCTGAGCGGCTGTCCCGCAATGTGTACACATTCCCACAGACCGAGATCTCCCGCCAGACACCTGGGGCTGAGTCCTCGGAGAAGCCGCCCGCCGGGTGCATCACCAGAACACCATTGGTGGTCAGTCCATCCATCAGGCCATCTGGGGTCCGCCATTTGGCCGCCCGCTCCTGGGACCACATGAGGGATCAGATCACATCCACCAGGGGCCCCCCAGCAGGCTATGTGCCAGAGGCACTGCCCCCCTACCCTCAAGTTCAGAGGTGGCTCAGAGAGGACTGGCATTGAAGCTGCATGACTTAAGTGTCTCTCTGGGCCTCACTTTGCTCATCAGTTAGCTGGGGTTGCTAAGCCCTGCCAGGACCATCATTTGGATTACTGTGGGCTGGTTCATCACATCAAGATGCTGCACCTCCCAAGCCTACCCCTTGCCTCACAGATGAAGAGTTGGTCCCTTCCTGGGGCTCACTCACTCCAAGGAAGATGTTGCTAGAGGCGTCGAAGCCAGCTGCATAGATGCGGGCAGTATAGGGCGGCCGGCGGTCACAGAGGATGCGGCAGGCGTAGCGGGAGATGGTGCTCTGGGCGGAAGGGCCCTCGGCAGCCCCTCCTCCAGGGGACGTGTCTGTTACCACGAAGTCAATCATGTTCTCTGTGGAGCGGCCGATCTGTGAGGACAGGGAAAGCAAGCAGCGACTGCATGTACATAGGGGACTCTCATAGGCCTCCCCACCCACAGTTCCGGCAGCTGCTCTGTATGCAAGGTCACCAAAACAGGAGGCTGCCAGGCCCTGAGAAGGGGGCAGCACCAACTCCTTAGACCTTCTAGGCTCCCAGGCGGGGTCTCCAAGTCCAAGAAGCCATTGCCTGGAGCAGCTTCTCCTTCTCTGTTGCCCCCACAGCACTAGGGATCACCCCATTCAATAAATACAAGTTGATTTGCTGATAGAATTATAAGAGGGTGGTCAAATGTTAGCAGCAGATAGCAACTTCTGAGTAACTATTTGCCATATGCCAGCCACCATGCTAAATATTTTATATGCAATGCCTAAGTTAATCTTCCTGTGGGGTGGGTACTATTATGGGCCTCACTTTACAGATGAGTAAACCAAGGCCCACAGAACTTAAGTGATACTTCCCCAAAGTCACCCAGTGGTAAGTGATGGAGCCAAAATCTGAACACAGGCATTAGGCCTCTCACACCTGAACCCCTGAGCTGTGTGAACTCCCACCGTCTAGGAGTCTTGAGTTTGATCCTTGATACAGCCACTGACTTGCTGTGTGACTCTGCAGTCAACAGCCCACACTGGGACATCCTGCTTCCTCGTCTGGAGGGAAGCAACTTTCCCATGGCCTCCCATCCTGTAGCCTCACCTGAAATGCTTGCAGAGCCTAGAGGCCTGGTGGCCAGGAGGTGTGTGGAGAGGCCTGAGCATACCTGGAACATGTCTGTGTCGCTATCATGTGTATACTCCACTATGACCGAGTGGCTCCGGGACAGCGTGTACGAGATGCTGTGCTGACCACGGTTACTCAGTGCCTGGGGGGAGAAAAAAGTCACTTGCCAGGGTGTGCAGCTATGATAAGTGTAAGCCTGGAGCCAGCAGCTGGAGCTCAAGGCCCAGCAGCCACTCTCCAGAAAGGGGGCACCTCCATCCTTCGCAGAGGGTGGACAGTGCAGCGGGTGTGTCACATGATTTAAGCCCTACAGTCACCTTAAGAATGGGGTTATCAGGCCGGGCGCAGTGGCTCACGCCTGTAATGCCAGCACTTTGGGAGGCCGAGGTGGGCAGATCACTTGAGGTCAGGAGTTCAAGACCAGCCTGGCCAACATAGCAAAACCCCGTCTCTACTAAAAATACAAAAAAAAAAAAAAAATTAGCTGGGCATGGTGGTGCGCACCTGTAGTCCCAGCTACTCGGGAGGTTGAGGCAGGAGAATGGTGTGAACCCAGGAGGTGGAGATTGCAGTGAGCCGAGATTGCACCACTGCACTCCAGCCTGGGTGACAACGAGATTCCGTCTCAAAAAAAAAAAAAGAATGGGGTTATTGTTCCATTTTACAGTTGAAGGAACTGCAGGTCACAGAGAAACTGCCCTAAAGGCACACAGCTGGAAATATCAGAGGCTGAATTCTAACCCAAATCCTCTAAAGCCAAAGGTTTTTTCCTTTACCATTGCAGTATGACTGTCACCTCCCACTCTCTGAACCTTGGCTGCCTCTAAGATGGCGCAGCTCATTTCCACCCATTTCCATTGGATGGAAATAAGCAGCACCATCTTAGGGGCAGCCAAGGTTCAGAAAGGTCTGGTAGTTAAGGAAACATTTTGCAAACTGTAAAGAACTGTGCACACTGCAAAGGATTTTTCATCACCATTCTCGGGTGGCCCAATACGCAGTGAGTGATGACACAAAGTGGGCTCCCCTGTTAAGGTGGGGGGCTGTGGGCAGGTAGGACCTGGAAGGCCAAAGACCTGGGCCTTGGGCAGGGAGGGCAGGACCTCAGGTCTACAGGTCAGTTGCTTGCCTTGGAGACGAGCGGCGTGGAGATGTGGTGCATGACATCTGGCTTCACTCCGTTGGCATGCGGACGGCGGCTCAGTGCCAGGCGGCTTCGCCGGCGGCCCTTGTCCCCACTTGCCAGACACCCATTGTAGCTGTAGATGTTGGAGGTTAAGAAGAAAGGGTTGCAAGAGGAGAGAGAGAAAGAGGGAAAGTGAACCCCTGATGAAACTTGGAGGAAACTGCCAACTTCTGGGCAGATCCTACCTTAATAAACAAGCTCTAGAAGCACCTGAAACTAGAAGACCCTACAATAACAAATCGGTACCTTGGGGAGTGGGCGGGGGGTGTCAGAACAGTTTCAAAAGCACTTTCATTCAGTTAACCAAGTATTTCCTGGACACTTGAGCCATGCCTGGATGGGTGCTGTGCACTGGGGCAGTAGAGGTGACGCACCACGGGTCAGCTGTGGGCCCTCAGTGGAGGGGTTCCTCAGCTTCTCCAGGAACCTAGGTGCCACCTGCCACACCCAGGCACAAGTCAAGGATGCCATAAGCCTAGAGGAAGAAAAGGGAATTCTGGCCCTAGCATGAGGTTTCTGGGAGAGGGAACACCTCTACTGGGTTTTGAAGAACTAGAAAGGGTTCACCTGTAGCAAATTGTCACTTATCACACCACTACTCAAAACCAAAACGAAAGGAAAAACTGACCCACAATGCCACTACCTCTATATGTCCACACATGTCCAATTTCCACCTGCCTTTCCATCTCTTGTCCGGAAGGGATGGCTGTGAGAGGCACAGAGGAGGTGAGTCATAGCTCTCATCGCTGCCATGGGCTGCTGCCTCCATGTTCCTGGCCTTCATGTTATCAATCACCTAATGGAATCTGTGCAGTGGCCTGCCAGGCAAGTGGCTTTCTGCCCATCTTACAAATGAGAGAAATCAAGGCTCAGGGAGGTAAAGTGACTTGCCTCTGGCTAGTAGGTGAAAATGTCCAGATTCGAGCCCAGTCTCTCCGACTCCAGAAGCCCCTCTAGATGGAGGCTCACCCTAAGCAAAGGGCCCAAGGCTGGCAGGATCTGATGAGATCAGGGAATGGTGACTTTGGTGGTGAAGTATGTGGGGGAGATGATGCTGGTGGGAGGGCTCTGAACTCCAGGCTGAGGACATTATTTTGTAACCAGTGGGGTGCCAGGAAGGTTTGGGAACAGGAAGTGACAGGACAAAGAGCTGCCAAATACAGACAAGGCCACTTGAATCAGAATCTTCTAGTGAGTTTGTTAAAATCCAGATGAGGCCAGGCGCAGTGGCTCAAAACTGTAATCCCAGCACTTTGGGAGACCAAGGTGGGCAGATCACTTGAGGTCAGGAGTTCAAGACCAGCCTGGCCAACATAGCGAAACCCCGTCTTTACCAAAAATACAAAAACTAGCCAGGCATGGTGGTAGGTGCCTGTAATCCCAGCTACTCAGGAAGCTGAGGCAGGAAAATCACTTGAACCCAGGAGGTGGAGGTTGCAGCGAGCTAAGATCGTGACACTGAACTCCAGCCTGGGCGACAGGGCAAGACTCTGTCTCCCCTGCCGCAAAAAGAAAAAAAAAAATCCAGATTCCCTGGTCCCACCCATTGTGACTGTGATTCTGTAGGCTTGGAGAGGGCCTGTCAATGTGTATTTTCAGTGCCCTCCAGCCAGCTCTGATGTGCAGCCAATGTGGACTCTGCTGTGCAAAGGGGCTGCCAGGAGGGCCCATACCCGTGGGTCTGCAGCCTCCCACATTAGTGGCCTTGCCTTGGGCTGGAAAGCCAGTCCTGCCTTTGGGATACAAAGCAGCTGTTTTTTCAAGGCAAGCTCTCCCAAGGGAGACATCACTTTTGCCCTTGTGAGCTCTTCCCACACATCGGGGGCGGGGGCGGGCAGGCCCCAAGGTGGGGCAGTTCAGGACACAGACTTGGGACACAGATGGGCCTGGCTTAAATCTGGCTCTTCCACTTATCACATGACCTCTGTAAAATGGAGCTAATTTTTTAGGACCTACCCCGTAGGTTCATTTTGAGAACTAAATGAGACAAAGCATTTAAAAGTGCTTAGCACAGAGTTTGGCATATTTATAGGAAGCCCTTGATAAGTGTTCGCTATTACTGCTTTTTTTTTTTTTTTTGGTAAAAAAAGCACGTGTCAACAAACAGCCATTTTAAAAAAATAATCTTGGCCAGGCGCGGTGGCTCAAGCCTGTAATCCCAGCACTTTGGGAGGCCGAGACGGGCGGATCACGAGGTCAGGAGATCGAGACCATCCTGGCTAAAACGGTGAAACCCCGTCTCTACTAAAAAATACAAAAAACTAGCCGGGCGAGGTGGCGGGCGTCTGTAGTCCCAGCTACGCGGGAGGCTGAGGCAGGAGAATGGCGTAAACCCGGGAGGCGGAGCTTGCAGTGAGCTGAGATCCGGCCACTGCACTCCAGCCTGGGCAACAGAGCGAGACTCCGTCTCAAAAAAAAAATAAAAAATAAAAAAAAATCTTAATGATAATATAACTTATCAAATAGTTTCTTTAGGACTGATGGCAGAGAGAGGCCAAAAGGAGACCTAGATGGGGGAGGAGGAAGAGGGTCTGTCCCTGGAGAAAGATCTGAGTGGATGGTCAGGAGAAGACCAGGAAGGGATAAGGTTGGCCCGGCCGCCAGTTCATGTTGCTTCCTCTCTCCTGGCCTTGGCTTTCTCATCTGCAGTGTGCAGGTCAGCTGTGGCTTAGTAAAAGTGCACTAGACCTAGAGTAAGAAAGACCTGGGTCCAAATCCCAGCCCTGCCACTTACCAGCTGTGTGCCCTTGGGCCAGTCACTTCCCCTCTCTGAGCCTCGGTTTCCTCACCTCCTTCCTCACAGCATCTTTGTGAAGATTGAAATGAAATAATGTCCATGAAAGGGCTTGGCACAGGCCTGCCTCCCAGAACACTTGATATGTGCTGGGCGCTGTTCTATGTACTTTACAGAAATCACCTCATTCATTCCTTCTGACAACTCTCTGAGGAAGGGATTATTAACATCTCCATTTGCAAAACGGGAAACGGAGGCACAGGGAAGTTCAGCAACTTGCAGAGGCAGGATTTGAACCTAGCAGTTTTGCTGGAGAACCAGAGTTCTTCAACCCACACCACACACACTAGGTGCTTTAGGAAAGGCAGCTGGTGTTAACGTTTTTCTCATCTGATCAGGAAGTTGAGTGGTTAGAGTTGTCACAGTAATTTGTGAAAAATAGGAAGATAAAACAATAATTATGAATTGGGGAGGGTTTGGTCAATTTTGTCTTTCAGCTAGGAAGGTGAGGAGGGACGAACAGCAGAAGGCACTTTGTGGGGGAAGGAGGGGTCGGGGCCCTTGTTCTGGCTGCGTTGGGTGGGTGTCTGGTGCTTCACCCCTTCTAAGCCAGAGATGCTCACCCCAGGACGATGAGTTCACCATACTTGATGGGATCCTCGCCTGGCTGTGCATCTTCACCGGGAGAGGAGAGAACGCAAGAGCCCTTGTTCCCCCGGTGCTGAAGGTCTGAGGTTCGGGGGGACCCCACTTCAGGGTTTCCTTCCAGCACCATTCTGGGCAGAGTGGGAGAGAAAAGAGCTTTGCAGGTTCCCACCCCAGCCCCACTCAATCCCAGCTCCAGCCTGCTGCAGGACCGCCTAGGCTAAGGCAAGGGTGACCTTTCACCGCCTCTACTGCTATGGCAACCACTTCCCCTCTGCCTCCTCTAAACTGCCCGAGGTTGCTGGGATACCAGGGAGGGGTGGCACAGTCAAGAGGGTCAGGATATTCAGTGGTGCCAGAGGAATGGACCAACTTGGGGTGGCCAGAGTCTGCTTTTTGGCCAAGATCCCAGTCTGGGATGTGCTTCAAAGAGGGGCACCCCATGAGTTGGGGGCCCTTACCCCTCATCTCAGACTCAGTTCCTGGTTATGGCTCTTAGCCTCTGGACCTCTGATTTAGCCCCTCTGACAGGTTCTTTGACTCTACCTGTCCATCTGAATCTTTCTGCCCCTTTGAGGTCTAGGCCTCTGTCTGTCCATCTGCTTTCTCAATGACTCTCTGTCCTCCTAGCCGCTGTCCTTTTCGCCGTCTCTCTCCCCCTATTCCCCATCTCTGCCTGTCTGCCTGTCTGCCCGCCTCCGCCTCACCATCCATCTGCCTCAGTCTCCCCATCTCGGCCTCCCCCTGCGGGCAAGCCAATGGACTCCTGGGTGCGCGCTCTTCCCTCCCTCCCTCAGGTGTCTGCGTCCCCAGCCGCCCGGGTCTCAGGAGGCTTGTGGGGGCGGCGCTCCCTCCTCGAGCTCGGGCTGCAGCATAGCCGTCTCCCGCAGGCAGCCCGTTTGGAAAACATCCTCGCGCTGGAGGGA